TCATAGAGTCGAGTTCTTTTAAGTATATATCAGGTTGCGTGCCAGAGACAAAGTTTTCTTAGTAATTAAAAGTTTGATCTCGTTTGCTTGACACAGAAGAAGAGGACAGTGCAGGCATCTGCAGTCACTGTCGTGATGTTGAATGCCTGATGATAATACACAAGATTTATATAGGAATTTGCTATTCTTGTATTTATATGCAGTCCTGTATGTCAAAAACAATACTGAATAGTTTTCATAGTTTCCATAGGGCCATGCTCTTGGATACCTATATTTATGTTAGTTTTTTTAATGGCAGATCAGAGTTATTGCTTTGCTGTTCTGTTTGCCTTATTGACATGAATTGTTCGTTATATGTTCATGAGTAGGTATTGATTAAACGAGTTGTGATTGTGTCTTTTCACTATACACTTATTGTATAATAAAATGAAAAAGCATAGTTAAAGACTAGTGATAATTCACTATATGATATGAATGAGCAAATAAGGATATATTTGCTTTTAGAGACAATTGGGCATTAAAATATCAACATGTGACTTGTGCGTAACTGAAAAGTTGTTCAGATTTGAAAGGATTCATGAATGTTCAATTGACAGTGCCTGTATCTTTCACCCTTATTGTGCATTTACAACCTATTTGTAATTTTAATTTAGTCCTTATAACCCCTAGTGATTACTGGCTTTAAGATACTTAGAGTAAAGGTGTATTACTGTAAACCTCATTTGCTATACCTTGTGTTCAAAGAAGGATGCATTAAAGAATAATCAAGTTTAGTGTGGATAAAATATCCAGTAACTTCTCTGTTATGGCATCTGACTATGATGAATGGCACAAGCACATTATTGAACCACAGTTCATTATCGAGGTGTCTTACAGGGATTTGGGGAAGTTTTTCCCAGTTTTGGCAAGTGGCCTTGAAAGAATGTGATCGTGGATTTAAAATAACTGGCTGTGATAAAATATTGCATACTGTTTTTACTCTGTATAGCAGCTAAATGTTTTTGAGAAGATCATATTACTCTGCTTGAATTTCAGAAGTATGGATGGAGGATGTCTGAGGACTGGTAAAATACAAGTATCATTGCTTATCTTGTGTCACTTGAAACACTGCGTGCCTCTACACGCCTTTACTGGTAATTGTTTTTCAATTCTCCTGCATGAAATGCATGACATTGCAATATTTTACATTGGCCAAGCTTGCCTCTTTGTGAAATTGCCATTTCTTTTGTAAGTCACAAACCCTCAAGGTAGACATGCTTGAAGAAAGGTGAAAGTACTCACACTGGGACAAATAGTTATTGGGGATTGTCTTTACAAATAAACCAATCTACATCACATACCTTGTGCAGTGATAGTTACACAATTCATCTCTTGGTTTCACACAGCATTAGAAATTACATACACTGTTCTGTCAGAAGTCTTTGTAGAACAAAGCTTGCTATTTCTTTGTGTTGAGAAACTGTTGATAATCTCTGAATATATATATATATAAATTGTAAAAGTGGTTAAAGGCATGTCAGAAACTGTTTCGTTTAAAGTTAAAATGTAATTTCCAGTATTGATGATGTTTGTACTGTTTGTTGTAAGGAATACTTTGTTGTCCATGTGGAATCCCAGGTTTCCCCTTTTTTTAGGGCAAGTGTAGAATTTTCTTATGGATCTGTCAAAGAATTACTCTGTTTAAAGTTATATGTCTTTGCAGCTATGCGTGTGCAGTTTTACAATTTTTGTTAGCAATAATGTTCATAATTTAGCAATATAAAGCAGTTGTACTGTTTAATGGACAGACAGGTTATGTAAAGCTGATGGCAAAGATCATATTAACAAGTAGTTTGAAGAAGAGGGGATGTTACTGAAATGGTTGTGAGAGTGTGAACCAGGTTGAGTAACTATGAATGTAAACACACACACAGAAACAGTTGTTTAATGCCCACTTGTCGTGTTGGTGTCAGATTTTTGTCTTGAATGTTATAAAAAGGAGAGAGTAGTCAGATTGAGATTGTCGTTGTCTATTTTGAATTAATTTTGTTTCCTGCTTGTTTCCCTTAACCTGACGTGTGGACTCATTGCAGACAGTTCAATGTTCATAAAGAGCATGCATAGGAAAACTTTGAAAGCATAATATTGTACCTTAAATGAGCATAAGACAGCAGGATCTAGGAAAGAGCATTTAACAATCCTGAATCCATTAAGTCGTGTAATTGAATATTTTATGTGAGAGTGATTATGAATATGAGGAAGTAACAGTTTGAAACTCAGTGGTTCTAATGCGAATGAAGGCTGGATGATCTTTTAGCTTGGGTGTAAGCGACAAGAAATGCATCAGGAATTGTTGGGGTTTCGGAGGAGGATTCAGACTTATAAAAAGAGGGAAGATGATGTTAAATTTTGTTATTTTTGACCCAGTTTAGTGTCATCTACGTGGCTACTGTTTGTCCTGGCTAACAAGTCTCATTGGTCGGGTCAGAGCATATAGCACAAGGGAACATGGCTTCTGGTCATGGCTTAGCTCAAGTGTGTCAGGGTCAGTGTCTGCGATAGGTCACATTAGAAAGAGGTAAAATAGTTTTAGGGGCAATCACAAGAGCATGAAAGATTATAACCATCTATTTTTACTAATTCCGAAGCTTAAACTTGGTGTTTGTTTGTTATTCTTGTATATTCCCACATGTTAATGAAATGTGAATTTCATTTAAACAGCAGTACACAAGTAGCTGTCGGACATGTTATTTGAAACATAATTTTATATTAAAACTGTGAGATTTGAGAGCTGCTGTGTGGAATCTCATAAAACATTGAAGAGGACCCCGTGAGCTGAAATGTTTGGCAATGCCTGGTGTAGCTGTAGTGACATATCACACACAAACCCAAGATGGGGAGACCTCAGTTTGAGGTGCAGTGGGTTGAATGTTCTGTGGGAATGTGAGCCATACTTGACTTAGTGCGTTTGAAATGTGGAGGTGCAGATGCAGAGGTAGTAGTTTGTTAACCTCTAATGTATGAGAACTAGGGATTTAAATGCGAATACTTGAGGCTGCTAGCTGGACTCCAATTCTGGGCCGAGGCATAAGACCATTGAAGTCAGATTGTCACAGGAATATTGAAGTGTCTGAGGTACAGTGTTGTATCCCTTTTGCTTCTGTTTATAGTTATCAAGTGTTACGGATTTCGGAGCAGTTCATGTCTTATCTATATTTCAAGATTGTCAGTTGTTAGACAGCGGTCAGTAATATATCTCTTCAATAACATTGAAGGAACCCCACTTCTTGCAGGTAGCTTTGTGAGAGCTGAATATGTAGAGTTTATAGCCTGTTGTGTGTTAAGGGAAAACGATTTTTGTTTTTCTGGTGCTGATATATTCATAGGTTATTTAGCATATAAACTGTATGTCATTTATATGTTTAGCGTTGGTTGCAGTTCCTTTGCCAGCTTCTGAATTAGGTGGTTTGTAGGCTGTATGGATACCTTGTATGGTGATAATAAGTATTTGAATGGAATTGTGTGTGTGTTTTAGCAACGATCTAGAAAGTGGTTACTTTGGGGACTCAAATGGTAGTGGGAACATGATACTAACATTCACGGTTGTCCTGATATGTCCAGGGTATGAATTTGTGTGAACATTGAATTTGATTGAGCGTGATAGGGGGATGAGAAACGTAGACTGGTGAACAGAGACTAGGCAGATACAAGAAGGAGAGGTAGGAAAGGCCAAAGAGGAAGTTTAAGTGGTGGAAAATGAAGATGGTCACTATTTTTGGAATTTGAGTGTAGAGTCCTAATTTACTATGTTCCTGTTTATAAGTAGGAAGATAGAATAGGTACAAATCTTTAATGCAGCAGAAGGTTTGGCTCCTGTTGGGATGGTGGATATTCTGCAGTGTTTTTTGAACCCTTGGTATGGCAAAGCAGAGAAAGTGGCCTTGAAAACAGTGTTTAAAATTACGTAAAATATAAAATGTAATTAATTGCTTCATATTGTGAAAAATAAATTAAATTATATTAAATCCTTTAGTTTTACCCTAAACAGAAGAATTAGGAAAATAAATAAAATTTCACTTCATTTTAGTGTGCTAATTTAGAGGTTTAGGGTGATTAGATAACACATTTTCCAAATTGGAAAGTCTGACTGTGAGGCATATGATGTTCCACTTTGAGACATGTATAAATACATTTTGGTGTTTCCCGATAGGAAGAGAGACAGTCATATCCATCACATCTTGTTGGACAAAAGACAGCATTCAATTATACTTGATATAAAAGCTTTCATAGAAATTTACTGAGATAACGATCAATATCCAGTGGTTACAACAGTTGGGGAGTGACTGTTACAAAACCAGTGAGTAGCATAAAAGCTTAATAGGGAGAGATTTAATGCGAAGAAAGTACACAGTGTGAATATTAAAGACCAGGAAACAACTTTACAACTTCAGAAATATTTGAAAAAGTGTTATAGTGAACCTAACATTCTCTACCAAAGAGAATGTATGTAGTTACAAATTGAATCAGCATAAACTATGTTTTGATGAAGAATTCTGAAAATTAACATTAATAGCAGGGGGATAGTTTTCAGTTGTAGCAAAATCAAGACAGGATGAATGGAGATAGCCTAAACAGTATAACATGAGAAAAGTTGATGTTTAACAACAGAGAAAGGGAGACAATTTGAAAAATAAAATCAACTTGAACACAAAGGAAGAACAAAAAATATTGCACATGTGTTTGAAGTGCTGACGAGAATAGTGGTTCTCTCTGCGTTTCTGATAATGTCATCTCTGGTCGCGACGACGAAGGCGCCATCATTCTACTTCGTGTGTTTGGGATTGTTTAACTAACATATTTTGTTCGTCTTCTGCTTCTTTTTTGCAACGTGATTATTAATCTATTCTGTATTTGTTAAGAAATATTGAAATAATTTGCTAAGAGCTTAATATTTTTTATTACATTATCATTTATCTTTATTAATGAGGTCAATATTTCTGTAGAATATTTCCATGATTTAATTTTTTCATGTTTTCCAGACTGCTTTTATTTTGTTGGGTTGCTCTAGGTTGTTTAGTCTGATTCTCACATTTAATCTGATTTAGACCTCGAGGAAGTAAGTATTTTAAAATATTTCGTGCAGTGAATTTTCATTATTTGGTTGTTCCACTATTGACAAATTAGTTAATCTTTTTTTATCTTTGTGATCCAATCATTCTTTTCAGATATTTTATCACTGTTTTGGTGGTGAAACTTGCTTATACATTTTTAAGAGATTATTTATTAATGTGTTAAATTTTGAATCTACATCAAGGCTGTTTAATACTCATTCCCAATTTTCATTCGATGAGAGATACATTCTTTAATAGTGTCTTCATTTGTGAGTCTGATTGGTATTCTGTACTTATGATAACTGGAGATCGATTTTTTATTATTAATATTACTAGAAGTCATACATCGTGATCAGATGGAGTAATTTTGGATTCTTATGGGGAAATTAACTGTTGCCATGACATTGGAAGATGCTACTCGAGCATTTTACACATTTTTATTGTAAATTTCAATAAGATAATTTGTATTGATGATAATGGGACCACAGTTGACGATGTTGTGCTGTAGGTTTAAAAAGATAATTTATAATGCTTTGTAACTTGTTTAGGAAAGTCAGCATTGCCAGTGGGGGCTCTATGTATAGCTAGGACATATATGTTGGAATGTTTAGATTCCAATTGCACAATGCAGCGTCTATTTCTTGTTATTTTAGTGACACAATACATTTATCTAATTAAATTTTAGGTTCTTTTTGGCAATAATACTTGCACCTTCTTTTACCATATTTCATCTAGAGTAAGTACTTCCAAAAGTAACATTTTCAAGTTTTACCTCTGGTGTTGGGTTAAACACAGATTAGGGTGTGTGTTTATTATTAATGGACACTGATAGTTGATCAGTTTTGTTTGAAAGTCCTCTTATGTTATGATGGTGCACCACAGAATTGTTATCTTGATTGTATTCTGAATTTAGAACTGGTTTATTAGCATTGATGTAGACATCTTTCAGGTATTTGGTGACAGATTTGGGCTTAAGCCTAAAAGAAGGGTTAGATCTTACATCAGTGATTACAGGTATCCAGTTTGCACCTAATCTAATTAGCAGTGAGTTGCACAAGCTTCTACTTGCCTTCTGAATTAAGTTGTAATCCGTGTCTGGTATGATCATTCCTATTTAAGGATGAATTGTCAGTTAATCCAATATGTGATTTGTCTGCATTCCAAAGCGCACACTCAAGTAGAATATTTCCACTCCCCACCAACTTGTCTATATTGGGCCTGTCATGGTTGCAAAAGGAAAGTACTAGAAATCTGTTGACTTTGTACATTATGATTGCATAATGTCATGAAAGAGAAATTTATGGGTTCTTACTTGTTCAGTAAGCTCCTGATTATGAGTGTTTGGAATATTCATGCATTACTAATTTTTTAAATAAGCACAGGTGAAATAGGCCTTCAACTTACTTGTGGGGTGGGGGTGGGGGTTCTAAAGAAGGTGGATGAAAATCATAATAAAATTCTACTGACAGTAAAACAAAGGCTTCGTGTACTTAGGAAATTTGAGAACAGAAAATGGGCAACAGAATTTATAATAAAAGTATGTGATAGGGATTGAGTGATTCCATCCTTGAAAGAACACCATATACCAGGCTGACCTACTGATGGCGTATTTTGGGCATAGTTTTCTGGGAGTCCAGTAACACTGGTTTGATTATGGGGAAACTTTCTCCAGAGTTAGTAAGAAATGAGGAAATCAAAAGTTCATGTCATGGTGCGTGCTATGAGAAGTTTTGAAAAGATTGACAGTGAACTGAAAAATGGCTTCAGACTGAGAGTGAAGATACTGTGCCTGTTACAGATTTATTTTTATGGAGCCCCACAACCCAAATGTTACGTTTGAAATCTGTGTGTGTATCTTGTGTTTTCTTTTGATTTGTTTGCCAGCTTTTCCAACACAGACCTTGCCCATGAATTTAAGGTGCAGTGTGTCTTTTATGTGAATGTTCGTTGCTGGTCTTGCTGTTGTTCATTTTGTTTGAGAACATTTGTTGAAACTATCTTCACTATACCAGTGTTGAAATCTTGCAGGGATTGTGACTGGATGTTGATGTGCTGGTCAGGAGATTGCTTCTGCTTTGCAAGAATTCACATGCCCATATTATTCACTTGTTACAGAACTTTCATTCAGAATTTGAATGACTTTTTTATTGTAATGACAGCTTTTGAGCACGTATTTAAATACAAGGATACAATTTGGTCCAATATAATATGGGCTTTTATAGAAATTCCCTCAATGCACAACATTTACATTTTATGATATTCGTGCAGAGATAACCGTATGGAAATGACAGATGTAACTTGGGACACTCTTAATGTCTGTCACATCTATCGTAGGTGATATACCATTGCCATTGGTTTAAATTTTTGTCATGTTCATCTTCATTGATGAATTGGTATACTAGTTTGCAGGCTGATCAGCATTGATAATTTTGCTAAAGAGCATTCACCAGTTGATTAGGCTGTTTTTTGTTAGAAAAAGAAAGTTGATTTTTAAATATTATTTGCACGAGTTTCAGCTGCAAAAGGTTAAAGTTTATACTTGAGGAAGCACCCCACTGTTTCAAGGTACCAGATTGTAAGTGGTAGGGTGTGTGTCATTACATGTTTTGGGGCGGAATTCTGCAGCATGGCGTCGTTACATACTGTTATTTCATTATACTCGTATTTCTTTCAACGTCAATAATCACACATTTCCCAAATGCTTGGGGTTTTATCTAATTTTTTATTCTACATTATTTAGCTTATTTAAAAACTCAGGTTTCCCTTGATATTCGCATAAATCTTTTGCCTTTTACTGAAGATTTCTGTTGAGGGGAACATATGGTTCATACAGTTTCATTCCTACATTTAGATTACTGATTTATTTTTTTAACTTTGTTGTATTGAGAATGTCAGAAAAAAGAAGACTTCTGTGCAGTTTTGGGATCTAACGTAATATTATTCTCAAACACTACCGTGTCCTTATCAATTCACTATTACAAATTCCATTGCCCATGTCAAATCCTAGATGAAAACTGCTTGTATTTTCTTTATACATGCTGTATGTTCACAGCAATGGAACCTGGTCCATCAAGAAAGAGAGTAAAGCATGTTGTTCAGGATCAGCTGTCTGGCTTGCAGGAAGATCCAGCTGCGTGTGCCAGCGGCCCGTCTAAAGGGTAAGTGTTCATCATTACTTCTCTCTGATGTACAGAGAATATTTCTTTCAGCACAGGGAACCTGTAAAAGTATGAAAGTAAACCACCAGGTGTATCGGAAGTCTTGACCTGATAATTTTCTAGTGATGTGTAGTGCAGTGAAATCGGCTTTCCTGTGTTATGTACCGTGGTGATACTTTATTGAGAGTGTATTGAACACGGCCTATTGAAGCAACGCATGTGGGGTCAGGATGCTCAGTCATGAGCAATTCGGTTAGAGAGAGAGAGAGAGAGCGGCTTGCTTGCACGAAACTTGTGACTGGTGGCAAGTGACGATGTCTTGCGCTTGCGCAGGACCCCGCCTTGTTTTAGTTTCTTTGTGTTTTGAGGGTCAGTTCCCTTCATAACTCTTGGACCCAGGTATTAAATCAGAATATTCATTGCAGTGTGGATCGTTATGGTTTTCCTGTTGTCATTCGGTTATCCTTTAAGACGCTGCAACGTACGTTCATATTCGTTTTTTGCAATTTGAGGTTGTGTTGTGTTGAGTTGTTTGCGAATGTTGTGCGGGCGGTGATTGGAAGAAGAACGCTAGAAATTGACTGCATATTCGAATGTATGTGACTTGGGCAAGGGAAATTGAGTACGTTTATGCATTAATATTGTGGGTATTTTACACGTGCCATTCCGAGAAGTAAATAACTTCACTCGATTCACGCGTAATGACAAAGCCGCTACTTGTCCTTTGTTCGTGGGTTGAACGCATATCGCCATCTTCATAACTGAGGACTGAGTTGGAAATATGTTTGTAACATACTTTATTTTTCTAAAAAGCCTGGAATGTCATTGCCCAAGAATCTCTACTGTTATTGTTTGTGTATGTATGCATTCAGGAAACTGGATATTTTGGATGTGAATGTTTTTTGTCATTCTAGGAACACTGTACTAGAGGCTTACTTAATTCTTCAGAGTCTGCTGAGTGGCAAATTGTGTGTCACCTGTGTTTGTGCTTGTCTGAAGAGCAGTGCAGCATCACTTTGCGGGCCCACATGATATCACAACCCAAATTCAACCATAAACTTGACCTGTGTTCTTAAGAAACCCCATGTCACTCGCCCCCTCTTTATGTGCGTGTGCATACTGTATGTGGGAGTTTAGTTGGTCCAAGATAATGTGCTTTCAATTAACACTCAGCCATTTTCCACTTCCTAGTAACATTTTCTGGAGCTCAGTTTTCACATCATTGTATTTCTGAAAAAACACATTAACCAAAATGTGTATAACAATAATTAAGAGATGAAAGTGGTTACCACAGAAGTTGCTCAGGGTGAATTTGGTGTCTGGAATAGGAAGAAAATGTGATGGTGATGTCAGGAATCCAGTCAACTAGTCTTCAAAGGACTTTGTACATTTTTGTTTTCAGGACTGGAACAGTTGCAGCCTGGGGCCTTTAAGGTGAGCGCAGAAGTAGTCGTAGCAGCTGGAGTGTAACAAGTAAGTGCCAGTATGACCTGGAGCTTTCCTCGCAACTAAGATTCTTCTTAGGTTGCCAGCCATGTCGTGTGGTTGAAAGGTAATCTTAAAACCTTGCATACAAACAAAACTGTCTCCACTTTGAAGGACGCTAATGCGAAATGGGTTTTGACCTCAAGAGGTCATCATCTAGAGGTCATCAGTGTCAAAAAGATTATGGTTTTTAACTGAGCATAAAAGGCGTGTTCTTTACAAAATCATATTTGTGTAACACCTCACTGGATGTTGGTGCATTATATTGAGCACTTGGCTGTTTTGTCCACCGGTCTGTTTGCCGTAGTTGCATCACCTGTGCCTGTGACCTTGATGCGTGGGTGTTACTGTTGGTTTTAAAAATGTATAGGGTGTATATTAACTCTGGAATCAGGGTGGCCAACTATTGCATAAGAAAAGTAGTGTAAGATAATGGAAAGAGCCATTTTGTTTCATGCGCACACATGCTTCCACTATTTTACTGTCTTTGCTGTGATGACTCTGGTTTAGTGCCATTTATGTAGCAGAATCAAATGAATTCATGTCCCTCAATTTAGCAAGTGCCAGGATGAGGGAGTAACATTCATATGGCTACAAGAAAGAGTTTGGCTATTTATCTAACCTTATAAGCTTCAAGCATTATTCCCTTCCAGTATTTGAACTGAACTGCTGTTATGTTACTCCAGTTATGTAGAACATAATAAAATTACGTTGTATTCTGCTTGGAATTTTATTTGTGTTTGTGTCACACAGGCAGAGGTTATTAAACATGCAGTTTATGTACAAAAATTTGTGAAAGAGTATTGAAGGGGAAATCATTCCCTAGGGCGGCATGCACACGTCAGGAGCTCTTGTATGAGCCTGTGAGAGAGGGAGCTTGTTGTTTGAGTGTCAATACCCATATTTGAATTGGTAAGTTGTGTATCCGTTTGTTTGTAGTGATCATGACAAAATTTGCCTTGTGAAAGTGGAAGGAGTGTGTCCATTGGCTGAGGTAGAAATGTTAACTGTGTGAAGAAGTAAAACTTTTTGTTCTTAGAGGAGTGTGATGCATGTACGGAGGAATCTTGATTTGTATAATGTGAATGTATTTTGTCTTTCTAGGGGTAGCGGATTACAAGAAATAGAATGTTCCTCCAGATTCTACTGGGCGGCGTGCTGTGTGTCACCTGACCTGCGTACTGCTTGCCAGAGAAGCATTGGAGTATGTGCGGCAACAGTTGGCAGACTGAGTTGATTTCAGAACAGGAAACTTACTGCCATGACTGGCGTATGTAGTTCATGTGCAGCGAGTTGGTAGCGAGGATGTTTCCATGTGGGAGTTTCGGTTTCTAGTTTGTTCTGTGATGTCTCTGGTCTGTTCTTTCCGCGCATCACGTAGTTCATTTGGGTCGGCACTATAATTCTTTGTGGCCACGTTCTTAGAGATGTGAAAGAAGACTGGCATTGGGAATATTTGTCTCGGTTGGTAGTGAGGTCGTGCTTCGGTTTAGTTAATGTTTGAATGCTAAAATGATTTTGAGTTCATAATGGCAAATATTTAGTCTCTTCAAATGCCTTAATGCAAGAATCATTGCTGTAAGTTTCTGTGTGGGAACAGTGTGCCTCTTGGGTTGTAAGTGGGTTACGGAATTATCTGGTGTTCTCATTTGTCGGTAGGTGTACAATCAACTGCAGAATAAGAGTGCTGATTCTGTATGCATTTCTGTCTTTTGTGGGGGGGTGGGGTGGAACTAGTTGTGTTGAATCTCTTATAAAATTCCAAAGTCCAATTCCAAAGACCAAAGCC